TATTTCCTGGATATTTTGTGTTAGGGATTTGTTGGACTTAAGATTTTCTTTGATTGATGATTCTATTTCCGCTAGTGTATCTTCAACTCCTGAGATTCTCTCTTCCATCTCTTGTATTCTGTTGGTAATGCCTACAGCTGTAGTTCCTGATTGTTTACCCATCTTTTCTATTTCCAGCATTCCCTCAGATTGTGCTTTGTTTATTGTCTCTATTTCAGTTTTAGGTCTTGAACTGTTTCCTTGAGAGATTTATTGATATCTTGTATTTTTGGTTTGTTTTTTCTTCCATTTCTTTAAGGGATTTTCTCATATCCTCTTTGAGGCCCTCTATCATTTTCATGAAGATGTTTTTTAGGTCATTCTTTTCTGCTTCATCTGCATTGTGATGTTCAGGTCTTCCTGATGTATGGTTCCTAGTTTCCAGTGGTGTAATATTGGTTTTTGTTGCTGTTGTTGAATGTGCTTTTATATTGTCCTCTTCTCATCCTTTCTTCTGGTGGGTGTAGCAGGAGTCTCTTCCTCTCTTGGTGGGTATGGGACCAAGGTCCCCTTCTGGTAGTTGCAAACAGTTCCAATACTGAGATGTCTGTCTTCTTCTCGTGGATGGATGTGGCACTGTTACCGGGGCCTTGGCTGTCTCTGGATGTGTTGGATCCTGCCTCCAAGTTCAGATCCGGTGAGCAGACCCCTGGGGTCAGGTGTCCCTGAGCAGGGCTGCAGTACTGGAACCGGAAACAGCCCCTGACCTACATGGGCCGAGGATGGACAGGAAATTACTATTTTAAAGAATGTAGATGTAGTGGTCCTAGTGAGATGTTAACTCTCTAGCATGTGGTTCCTGGAATCAATCTCCTGTTCTTTTGCAGGAGGCAGGGAACTCCAGCAGAAAAATGTTCAGCATACAGGGAGGCATCACTGTGGAGACAGCATGTAAAGCCGTACCTGAGATTACCACGGGAGTGAGAGCTGTAGACAAGAGACAGGTCTGTGGGCTTGTACTGCTGTGGCACCACACTTAGAAGCAGGGGGATGAGAAAGAACCAGAGAAGGAGGCTAAAAGAGTGACTGGTGTGGTGAGGGGGAAACCATTTGTCCTGGAAACCACAGGAAGACATTGAAAGGACCAAGTAAACAACTACATCAAATGTGGCTGGGTCAAATTTATAAGTCTGAGAATTAAAATTTGGGTTTAGTGACACAGGAGTTACAGTTCCTGCAAGAAAGTATAAGAATTGTTGTAGGCTGCTGTGCTGTCCGGAAGAACCTAGCTTCCGTCTGTGTTCATTCACGGCCTAGTAAACTGAAATATGAGCACAGCCATGTACCACTGTCAGTACTTGGTAGGCAAGAGGATTTGTGAGCTATTGTGAAAGAGGAGGTTAGTGGAGTCCAGAGTTGCCCTGATCACCCTCCACAGCCCAGCTATCCAGGACTCCCAGCACTTAATCCTCAAGTCTTGGTGAGGGAAATCATGTTTCCCCATAGCTTAGCTGAATCAAACTTCAGACTTTGTAAAAAAGACATTTTACTGACAAAGAAGTCAGTATAGAGACATATGACTCTGTAAACCTCCCAAGAAAACAAAAGCCAGTGACAAATTAACTTGACAAACGAGATTTAAGTGTACAGGGCATCTCAATGTGCCAGGCAATGGTCTAGGTGTTTCACTTGCAGCTAATATATTCCAATTCAGGCGAAATGACTTTGTACAGGAGGTGTTCTGCCCATTTTACAGGATAAGGAGTGGAGGCCTGGAGAAGATGGGTGAGCCACTCAAGTTCCCTGGGTGGTCCAGGATTCAGATTAAGGATTGTCTAATACTTTCACTGAATGCACTGTGCTGGGCTAGCCATACATTCTCTTACTCCACCCTAGTTTTTTTTCTGTGAAGTCAGGGGGACACTGGGATAGTTTTCCCTGGTTTTCAGCTCTGAGATGAGCTAAGGCCAGTGGGTTAGTATCTCCTTGCATCCTAAGACCTTAACTTTTCTGATTGTTTGCCCTTGACAAGTCAGGCTCTGAAAGCTCCCACCTCGCCTTTTTTTTTTTTTTTTTTTTTTTTTTTTTTTTTTTTTTTTTTTTCTTTTGTAGTTTGTGTTACCAGCTACAAGAGATAATTTCATGAGGTCAGGAAGTTGAGTGAATGATAGGTGCTGTCTAAAAATAAGGTACTCAGCTCAGCCAAAAGAGATTTCCCGGGTCACTTTAAGAACCTATAAGGGCTGTGTGGTGGTGGTGCACACCTTTAATCCCAGCACTTGGGAGGCAGAGGCAGTTGGATCTCTGTGAGTTTGAGGTCAGCCTGGTCTACAAAGCTCCACAGAGAACCTTGTCTCAAAAAAAGAAATAAAATAAAATAAAAAAAATAAAACCTACAAGGGGCTCTTGAATCCACGAGAACATCAAACTGTACCAAGAGTATACCAATGAAAGCATAGCTTCTCTTCTGGGAAGATAAGCTCATTTCATGAGTTCCGAGACCAAAGTAAACTATTTACACTGAAAGACAGTAGGCACTACACAACCCAATCGCTTCATTTAACCTGAGGACAGAGGTACAGGGAGAGGACCAACTGGCCTGAGTTCACGCAGTGCACCTGGGGACTTTCACCTCCCAGTGCAATGTTCCTAGGCTCTGCCACTAAAGAGATAGGTGGGGAAAAGCTCAAGATGGACTCACCTAACAAACACTGATTGAAGTGCAAGTTCCCAAGGAGAGCTTACCTCACTTATTTGTTCACATTCCTGTGAATCACCAGCCAGTGTGAACAAGGCCTGCAGTTGTCAGCAGAGGGTTCTCTGCTGCTGTGACATGCCATGCCTTCGGCTGTACTAGGAGCTTTGGATTAGACTGGGGGCCATGCTCATAGAAGAACAGCAATGGTGAGCATAGCCTCATTTTGGAGTTTATTTAGAGAGGATGAAGAGAATGGACCATAGTCCGCAGAGATGATCCTCAGCTCCAGTTGCAGTGAGCTCTCCCTTTAGCTCAATCTGACCAGTAGAGGTTAGAGGGTTGTTGCTGTTTCATACCCAGCCCCTGCTCCCTGCCTTTGGTTCCCACCAGGACCAGAATAAATGACAAGGGGAGAGGTGCATAACAGGCTTAAAGATGCTCTTTATTGGGCAGGAGTGGAACGGAAGAGATTAGGAATGAGACTAGGAATAAGCATGCCAAGCGTAGGATGGGGCAAAATAAATAGTAACTGGAGAAGGGAGGGTTCCAACCCAACAAGGGAACCATTTGCCGCAGAGTCTGGGCTTGTTCATCTTCTTTGTTGTGTGATGTAGGACATGTGGTTTGCCCCAAACTGAAAGAGGACTTCTGAGGGCTCTAACTGGGTACCAAATGCTCTTGGAGATGAGAGATCCTTGGTCTTGGAGGTATTTGAGCTGCTATCTAATGACTCATCTAAAGGAAGAAAATATTCATATGGAGTTGGTCCCAAGCGAGGGACCTCCAGAGTTCATGCCACCAATGTGATCAGAGCTTCCAGACACACCTGAGTGGAAGGGCTGAGTCCCCAGAGGAATACCCATACCTAGTGTTCCCAGCTCTCCCCTTCTCATCCCGAGGATTAAAAATCTCTGGGTGGGAGTTAGGATCTCACCCCCAGCATCCTTCTGACAGCATCCAGACGGGCCTGGATCCGTGAGGCCTCTTGTGGACATAGCATCTGCAGCTCCCCGAATCTCATGTGAAGTAGCTGGTTTCCCATCAAGGACCCAAGGGTCCTCACAGTTCTGTAAATAACAGTGGTGGAATCCACCAGGGGTGGGGCGGGGGAATGCTTGGCCTTAGTATTTGTGTAGAGAAGGAAAGCTGGGTTACAGGAATTAGGGATCTGCAGGTGCAGGAATAAGTCAGTTATGGAACGGCTAGGTTTGAGGACATGAGCACTTTAGAAGAAAATGTTCTGGAAGGGAGGGATGCTGAAGGTGACAGCCCAGGTTCTTCCAGAATCCACTACCCTTGACCCCTGCTCTTTCGCTGCATATGGTCTCCCCACTTGGCACCCTACTCAGGGCTCAGACCAGCCACCTTCTCCTGTCCTTTTTCGTTTAAGCCTAAGATGGAATCATGTACAATGGAAGTTGGACCTAAAATTGCATGTTTAGGTCTCTGAGGGGGAAGGGGTCTCTCCCCTCCGCCCCATGGGACTGGGCACTCACATAGTGGAGAAGTTCTCTGCTTGTAGCCAGGCCGTGACTTCCGCAGGTTTTGAGCTGAGACGAAGCATTGGAGCCTAGAATCAAGGATACTTGGAAGTCAGAGATCATCCTTCTCACAGCCGTGCACAGCCTCCCATATTGGGTGGGTCCTTCTCCTGCGATCTGGTTTTCTGGTTTGGCAGGGACCCTGACTTAAGTTTTGTTCACACTCTAGATGAACTTACCCCCCCCCCCCCGGGAGCCTGCAGGGATACTGATTAAACTGAACAAGATCATTTCCCTTTGTCACCTAATCCTCCCTGCTACCACTTCTGACTCGGGACTCGGGGCTTCTGCTCATCCTAGGCTGCTTAGTACCCTGAAGGATGATGGTCTGTGGCTTCTAGGAACTCCAGCCGGCAGCGGCTCCAGGATGTTACTGGGAATGTAGCCAGTCTGTCCTGCTTCATTCTTCACCAGCCACCACCTCTTGCTCTGGTCCAAAACCTGCCAAGAACCACCACATCAGCCTCCTCCATCCCTCCCACCCCTCTTTCTCCTTGGCCTTCTCCGGTCTCTGCCACTTCCCGCTTCTCTCTCTCTGTAAGCCACCCACTCCAGGCTAACCATACCTCCCACCAATCACTTCTCTTTCTGGCTTCAGGCATGGGCCTCACCTCCAGAATCTCTCCCTGTGCCACAGTTAGTTCCTGGGCATTCCTCGCTTCAAACTCATACAGGACTTGCATTTTCAGGACTGGTTTGGCAGGGCTGGGGCTGGAGGGTGGGAGGTTTGAGTCCTCATGTTCGGAGCCATGGCTGTATGGCTCATCCTGAGGGAAGTGTAGGCTGCTCCTCATCCTAGAACCTCTGAGTTGAGGTGAGAGACAGAGTCAGGATGGCTGGCAAAAGGGAACAGTGCCCCTGGCCCAGCCACAAGAGACCGCCCCCCTCCCAGTAGCTCCTAGCTAGGGTCTGTTGGTGACTCTGAGTTTCCATAGGATCTTGATGGCAATAGTGTTAGGTGGGGATTGGGGTATGAGGTTCTGCAGACAGGAGGGGCTCTGAAGTATCATTTATCTCAGAACATTTCCAGAAGTGGCGTTTTCTAGATCCTGATTCTGCTCTGAGTATTTTATACCTGAGCTGTAGGGACTCAGACGATACAAGAAAAAGGATTTGGAGACTAGGAGGTAAGAAACTGCAGTTTCACCCAAGGTAGAGGAAAGGCATCTTTGCACATGTCTGTATCCGGCTAAGAGAAAGTGCAGATGGTCTCTGAGATGTAGTGTTCCACAGTGTGAAGGCTCTGCCCTGTACCCCCTCCCCATCAGGTGTGAAGGCCCTGTACCCCCTCCCTGTCAGGTGTGAAGGCCCTGTACCCCCTCCCTGTCAGGTGTGAAGGCCCTGTACCCCCTCCCTGTCAGGTGTGAAGGCCCTGTACCCCCTCCCTGTCAGGTGTGAAGGCCCTGTACCCCCTCCCTGTCAGGTGTGAAGGCCCTGTACCCCCTCCCTGTCAGGTGTGAAGGCTCTGCCCTGTACCCCTTCCTGTCAGGTGTGAAGGCTCTGCCCTGTACCCCCTCCCCATCAGGTGTGAAAGCTCTGCCCTGTACCCCCTCCATGTCAGGTGTGAAAGCTCTGCCCTGTACCCCCTCCCTGTCAGGTGTGAAGACTCTGCCCTGTACCCCCACCCTGTCAGGTATGAAGACTCTGCCCTGTACCCCTTCTCTGTCAGGTATGAAGGCTCTGCCCTGTACCCCCTTCTCTGTCAGGTGTGAAGACTCTGCTCTGTACCCCCTCCCTGTCAGGTGTGAAGGCTCTGCCCTGTACCCCTCCCTGTCAGGTGTGAAAGCTCTGCCCTGTACCCCCTCCCTGTCAGGTGTGAAGACTCTGCCCTGTACCCCCTTCTCTGTCAGGTGTGAAGGCTCTGCCCTGTACCCCCTCCCTGTCAGGTGTGAAGACTCTGCCCTGTACCCCCTTCTCTGTCAGGTGTGAAGGCTCTGCCCTGTACCCCCTCCCTGTCAGGTGTGAAGACTCTGCCCTGTACCCCCTTCTCTGTCAGGTGTGAAGGCTCTGCCCTGTACCCCCTCCCTGTCAGGTGTGAAGACTCTGCCCTGTACCCCCACCCTGTCAGGTATGAAGACTCTGCCCTGTACCCCTTCTCTGTCAGGTATGAAGGCTCTGCCCTGTACCCCCTTCTCTGTCAGATGTGAAGGCTCTACCCTGTACCTCCCTCCCTGTGACTGTGAGCATCCACTAAGCCCGAGACATACCGGAGGGAAATAGAATTCTGGTGTCTTAGGGGTTCCTATAAGAAACAAAACCAGAGTGGGTTAGAACAGGAGGTGGCCAGTGCAGTGGCAAGGAGGGCTACCCAACCATCCCAGGCCTACAACAGCTGCCTCTTGCCCATTGCCTACCTCCCCAACAGGTACCCATATGACCCACCCCTTAGTTGTTATGTGGTTTTGACCTGGACTGGAAGAGCTTTGTGTAGTCTCAGTGCTGTGCAAGCCTTACCATGGAATAGGGCTCTGGAATCTGCCAGCCATCATAGAATGTGGGCCGGTAGGGTGGCGGTTCACTGCCTGTCCAGTCAACCCTGAGGGGAGAACAAAGCTGGGTCTAGGACCACTGTGTACCAGGATGTGGGATGTGGAGAGGGAGGAGATGAGAAGGCCTAGCCTCAGGGATCTGTGGCTAATGGGGACATGGCACATGCATACAGATGAAAGGCTACAGAAAACCCACAAAGGGACAAATTTAAACAGGAACAAGTCTAACAGTGTATCAGTGGGTAGCCTCACCTTAGTCCCTAAGGTACAGCTGTGTCACCTCCCTAGGAACATAGTGGACACTTGGTCACCCTCCTTGAAGTTTAGGATTAAAGTGGTATAATCTGGAGTATTGGGGTTGGAAGACCCCTTTGGAGACTTTCAAAGAGCATTCTTTTTATTTTATTTATTTGTTTATACATCTATTTTTATATTGAAAATAGTTTTTTTATAAAATAATTCGGATCCTCCTAGATCCTTCCCTACTCCCCAAGCACCAAATCCACACCCTTTCTTTTTCTCTCACTAGAATACAAGCAGACATCTAAAAAATGAAATAAAATTATATAAGTAAAAACAAATAAACCAGACTAGGAAATAAGCAAACAAATAGAAGAAAAAGAGCCAAAGAAAAGGCCCAGGAAACAGTATAGATGTAGTGACACGCATGTACACACATACAGAAATCCCATAAAAACACAAAACTGGACATAATACCTGGAAGTTAAAAGGAGGAGGAGGAAGGGGAGGAGGAAGAAGAAGGAAGAGAAGGAGAAGGAGAGGAAGAGGAAGAAGAAGGAGGGAAAGAGAAAGAGGAAGAAAGATGAAGAAGAGGAAGAAGAGGAAGAGGAAGAGCCATTACAAAGCATATGTGACAAAGAACCTTTAAAAAATGCCATTGATTTCATTTTGTGTTGGCCAACTACTGCTGGTCCTGGGGTCTGGCCTTCAGAGTAGTTTGTATACCCAGTGAGGCTCCATTAGAGAAAACTAATTTTTTCACCTGTGAGTAGCTATCAATTGGAGACAGCTTCTAGGTTTTGGATGGAGGCTCATGTTTACTTCCCCTCTCAGCACTGGGCCAAGTGGCCCAGACCTCTGCAGGCCCTGTGAATGCTGCCACTGTCTCTGTCCCACCCCCTTTAAAACACTTTCAGTTTTGAGACAGGGTTCACTGAGTTGTCCAAGCTGGCCTTGAAGTTACTCTGTACCTCTGTCTGGCCTTGAACTTGCAATCCTCCTGCTTCAGCCCCAAGGGTAGCTGAGATTCCAGGTCTGTGACACCACACCTGGTCCATTCATTATTTTTCTAACCTGTTTGCAGCTCTTTCCTTCTTACTAAACAGCACAAAGGTCTTCATCGTAGACGACACATCACAGCGGAGCTGCTCTGCCTGATGCCAGGTTGGGATTCATACTTGTCTCTCACCTCCTCCTTGCCCACAGCAGGACTGTGCCATTGTAGACTCCAGGCTTATCTGCCTGAGAATGCTCATTTACCTCTGAAGTTCCTCTCCCTGCCTCACCGGGGCAGCTGCAAAAATTCCCTCTAAAGTTAGTAAAGCCGCTCACTCCTTGTCTGTTTCTTACTGTGTTGTGCTTCCTGGCTGGGGACAGGGCTGTCTTTATTTCACTATGGCTGAGACATAAGTAGTAGCTAATGCATACTTATCCAGTAGGAGCAAATTCTTCTTCATTGGTGTGTACTGTGTCCTAGAAACATGCTCAGGTCTTCTGTTGACCAGGTTACAACTTCCTTTACACTATGGTCCTGACTGTCTCTTTACCAAGCCTCCTGGAGATGTCCTTTGATGTGCCCATACTTTCTTACCTCTGATTGCAACCTCTACCATTACTGTACTGAAACTGATCCATTGAAAATCCTGACAATCAGGCTGGAGCGGCAATCTAGCTGAGCGGCAGAGTGCTTGCCTAACATGCTCAAGGCCCTGTGTTTGGTCTCCAGCACCTGGGATGGGGTGATCCTGATAATCTCCTGGTCACCAAATCCAATGGCTGGTGTGTTCCCCGTTTTTCTGGATTACCCCACCTTTTAGTGTTACTTACAACTTTGGGTCATTTTATCTAAAATCAAAGCACCAAAATGTAATTTGTCAGAAATTCAGCTCCTCTAAGGACTTTTACATGTATTTTATTTTCTGTATTTCTTTCACATTAATCTATTCACTTCTAATCATTTTAAGAAATTAGGACTCCTCTGAGGGTGTATCTGACTTGATAGATTATTCATGAAATTTGTGCCATTTTACTAATACTGGGGTTGTTCTGCTTCTTCATGTATATTGCTAAAATTATATTTGCTGATCAAGTTCTCCAGTGTTGCAAGTGTGTGTGTGTTTGTGTGTGTGTGTGTGTGTGTGTGTGTGTGTTGTATGCTCATCTTGGTGTGTGGTGTTTACATGTGAGTGTGTGTGTGTGTTGTATGCGCATCTTGGTGTGTGGTATTTACATGTGAATGTGTGTGTGTGTGTATGAATGTCTGTGTGTGTGTGAATGTGTGTGTGTGGTATATGCCCATCTCTGTGTGGGGTGTGCACATGTGAATGTGTGTGTGTGTGAATGTGTGTGTGTGTGTGAATGTGTGTGTGTGTGTCTGTGTGAGGTGTATGCCCTTCTTGGTGTGGGGTGTGCACATGTGAATATGTGTGTGTGTGTGTGTGTGTGTGTGTGAATGTGTGTGTGTGTGTCTGTGTGAGGTGTATGCCCTTCTTGGTGTGGGGTGTGCACATGTGAATATGTGTGTGTGTGTGTGTGTGTGTGTGTGAATGTGTGTGTGTGTGTCTGTGTGAGGTGTATGCCCTTCTTGGTGTGGGGTGTGCACATGTGAATATGTGTGTGTGTGTGTGTGTGTGTGTGTGTGTATGTGTGTGTGGTGTATGCGCATCTCGGTGTGGGGTGTGCACATGTGAATGTGTGTGTGTGGGGGTGTGTGAATGTGTGTGTGTGTGTATGTGTGTGTGGTGTATGCGCATCTCGGTGTGGGGTGTGCACATGTGAATATGTGTGTGTGTGTGGATGTGTGTGTGTGGGGGGGTGTGTGAATGTGTGGTGTATGCGCATCTCGGTGGGGGGGGTGCACATGTGTGTGTGGGTGTGGGGTGTGTGCATGTGTGTATGTGTGGGGGTGTGAGTGTGGGTGTGTGTGAGTGTGGGTGTGTGTGAGTGTGGGTGTGTGTGAGTGTGGGTGTGTGTGAGTGTGGGTGTGTGTGGGTGTGTGGTGTATGTGCATCTTGGTGTGGGGTATGCACATGTGAATGTGTGTATGTGTGTGTGAATGTGTGTATGTGTGTGTGTGTGAATGTGTGTGTGTGTGAATGTGTGTGTGTGGGAGTGTGTGTGTGTGTGTGTGGTGTATGTGCATCTCGGGGTGGGGTGTGCACATGTGAATGTGTGTGTGTGAATGTGTGTGTGTGTGTATGTGTGTGTGTGTGAATGTGTGTGTGTGGGAGTGTGTGTGTGTGTGTGTGGTGTATGTGCATCTCGGGGTGGGGTGTGCACATGTGAATGTGTGTGTGTGAATGTGTGTGTGTGTGTATGTGTGTGTGTGTGAATGTGTGTGTGTGGGAGTGTGTGTGTGTGTGTGTGGTGTATGTGCATCTCGGGGTGGGGTGTGCACATGTGAATGTGTGTGTGTGAATGTGTGTGTGTGTGTATGTGTGTGTGTGTGAATGTGTGTGTGTGGGAGTGTGTGTGTGTGTGTGTGGTGTATGTGCATCTCGGGGTGGGGTGTGCACATGTGAATGTGTGTGTGTGAATGTGTGTGTGTGTGTATGTGTGTGTGTGTGAATGTGTGTGTGTGGGAGTGTGTGTGTGTGTGTGTGGTGTATGTGCATCTCGGGGTGGGGTGTGCACATGTGAATGTGTGTGTGTGTGTGTGTGTGAATGTGTGTGTGTTTGAGAGAGAGAATGTGTGTGTGTGTGTGAATGTGTGTGTGTGTGATTGTGTGTGTGTGTGTGTGTGTGGTATATGCCCATCTCAGTGTGGGGTGTGCACATGTGAATGTGTGTGTGTGTGTATGTGTGTGTGTGTGAATGTGTGTGTGTTTGAGAGAGAGAATGTGTGTGTGTGTGTGAATGTGTGTGTGTGTGATTGTGTGTGTGTGTGTGTGTGTGGTATATGCCCATCTCGGTGTGGGGTGTGCACATGTGGAG